AGAATGATAAATGAAAGGGTTCACGTATAGCAGAGGCATCCCTATAAACTTACATGGATACCAGCAGGCTGGTGAAGAGAGTGGTAGTTATTGTTTGATTTATTGATAATGGATATGGATTTATAATATGTACTATGGTGGCTGATTATGCATGAGATATTGGTCTGTATGATATTATTGTTCTTACTGGTTGTTTTCATAAATTCCACGATGGTAAGTGAAGAAGAAATGATTTTATGATTGATAAATGAATTTGCTAAATTTAATGTTCCATTAGTAATTTTCGATTTTATACCAATATTTACTTTTGTGTCGGTGATATAGTGTGATATCCTTATTGGGCTAGTGTAGCTCATCCTTTATTTAACTATTTCATATCAAGAGGATCAGGTTCCAGAGTCCGATCTGCAAGAAAATTGCGAGTAGATGCTAGATATTTTTATTTTCTATTTGTTTCTTTATTTCTCGTGTTTCTTTCAAAAAATGAATTCCGTAATGTTTTTTAGTATTTTTAAATTATTGTGTAAGAAATGTAAAGCTTAACCTTTTATTTTGTTTTCGTACTTAAGTTATTATATATTTCTTTTGACTATTTCCGAAATCGTTACAAGATAATTAAATTGACATGTAGCAACAGAGTAGTAATAGTATTAAGACTATAAGAGTAAATCAAAAAAAAAATTTAAGTAGTAAGATTAATTTTATCAAAAATAAATATGTAGAAATTAATAATATAAAAATAAATTATTATTTTATTCCAACATAATATATATATATATATATATTATTTTTGCTTTATGCAAAAATTAAGTAGAAAAGTACCACGTGACCCACATTTCTTGTGTAAATATATATTTTTTAAAGCTTCACCAATCACATTTCTATCAAAATAAAAGTAGCCTTTGTAAACGAAAAAATGTAATAAAATTAATTTATTATAAAAGACAGACAAACATTATAGGAGGAATTTATTCAACTCATGCAAGTACTTTGAACAAATTATTTGAAAAGATAATTGAAAATTTATTTAAAATGTATGTACGAGTATATACATAAATGGATACAAGCCAGTTTTCCACCTACCAGGAGACTGTAATTAATAATTAGGAATACTTATCTTGTAATATTAAATTATATATGTATACAACTTTTAAGTAATTATATATTTTATTATTTAAATAATATATATAAATCATAATAATATTTTTTAATAAAAAATATAAAACTCCACAGTTAGATTTAAATCTATAATATATTATAAAAAAAAAATATATCAACTATTTAATTAGTGTGAACGTATTGTTGAAAATATGCAAGTGTCATTTTGTGTATTTTTAGAAAAAACGATGATATACTTAATGAAGGTGGTCAGCCTGTTTCCTATGGAGGGAACACTTTGTAATTACCAATCAAAAATTTAAAATAAATATATATATATATCTATCAAAAAATTACACCTCGTAATATTAAATTTATTATATATACTATATACATATATATGCGTATTTGAAAATAACAAACTAATTAAATAGAACTCATCCATGAATATAATATTAAATTACACTATCATACAATATTAAATTTATAATATATACTATATATATATATATATGCATAGTTGAAAATAACAAACTAATTAAGATTTCTTCAATCCATGAATATAAAAAGGTGATAGATATAGTAGTTTAAACAAAAAATAATAATTAAAAATCTAATATATGTATATATTGTGATATTATTGAATTAAGTTTATTATGAATTTAACTTAGCTAAAAAGATATTTTACTAGATCAACAAAATAATATACGAAAATATGCTTCAATTTATATATGTCGATGTATACGTATAGATATATATTACATACATAAGCTTACTAAACAAGCAAACGAACACTGAATTATATATATGTATATATGTTATATTTTAATATATTAAGGGTTAACATCAGCATTAATTCTTTCTGGGTCCCCGACTAATTGAGCATGAACGTGAAACGTGCTTCGCGAGCCACAATAATATCAAGGTATTTTTTTTTTATATAAATAAATAAAATAATTTCTCTAACCAAAACCACGTGTTTTCTTCATGCTAATATGAAATCTCTCCGCTGCATTCCTTCCACCTATAAATACCACCACTAGTCCGCGGTAGCCAAAGCATCAAACCACAGAAAAAACAAAAGCAAGAGAGTAAAGAAAAATGGCATTGCCAAAATTCATTGTGCTTAAATCAAAATACAACAATCAATACCTCCGTTATGTTCAAGATGACTCACAAGTGCATTCATTTCTTCAATTTTCTGGAGAGAATGTTGTGAGTCCATTCACAAAATTGGAAGTTGTGTCAGCCAAAATTGAAGGACTTGTGCACCTCAAATGTTGTTACAATAATAGATATTTGGTGAGGTGGTCTCCAAATCACTGGTGGCTAGTTGGTGCTGCTGATGAACCAGAGGAAGATCAATCTAAATGGTCTTGTACGTTGTTCAAGCCCAGTTCTGTGGACAGTAATGAACAAACATTTCGATTTTTTCATGTCCAACTCGGCCACTATGCATGCTTATGGAGGCTCGCCCCACCTTTTGGAAATTGTTTGTTTGCAGGATCTGCATCTATTGATAAAGATTACTGTGATGTGTGCATAGTGATCGATGTGGAATCGCTGTTCGTGTTGCCCAAATATGTCGGATTCAAGACCGAAGAGTATGGAAAATATTTGAGAGGCCACACGATTGAGACAAAACCGTATCTACAGTTTGAGGCTAATGATGCATCTGACGCCGCTACATGGCATGAAGCTTCCTTCACTAGTGACGGAAGCCTCCATTTAAAGTCTAATCATTTCGACAAATTGTGGAAACTTAGCTCAGGATCTTGGATATTGGCTGATGCAGATGACTCAGCAGCCAGCAAGGAAGAAACATTGTTCTGGCCTATCAAAGTTAATGATGATGTAGTTGTTATTCGCAAGTTGGGCAACAATAATTATTGCAAGAGGTTTACTGAGGGAATAAGGTTAAGTTGCCTTAGAGCTGTTGACACTGAAATTAGCAGGTTCTCCCGGCTACAAGTTAAAGAGCTTGTTGTTTCAAGAAAAATTTCCAATGTTAAGTTTCACACTCGTGATGCTCGAATCTATGGTAAGAGTATTGTCCCAGTAGCCACTGGATCTACAACTAACAATAACGAACAAAAGACAGATGTGCAAGTCAATTTATCATATGTAGATGTCAAGGATAGTTCTTGGAATTCCACTTCCACAATAAAGTTGGGTGTCCCAATCACCATCAACTCTCCATTCGCATTCCTTGTGGACGAAAGTGCATTCGAAACAACAGGAGAGTTTGAGGGATCCTATGAATGGGGAGCAATCAAGAAATCATCAAGAAAAGTAGAGATTGCATACATAGTGGGTACTTTAGAAGGAAAGAGCAAGGTGACAGTCACATTGCTGGGAACAAGAGCTTCAGCTGATATTCCCTTTTCTTACACTCAGCGTGACATTCTTATGGATGGAAAAGAAGTTACATACAACATGGATGATGGTCTGTACACATCCACCACTACTTTCAACTTCAAATACGAGATCAAAATAGAAAAGGTGTGATTACGTCTACGTTGCATCTGCTGGTAAGTAATAAAAAAATAAGTTGGGATATTAGTTGTTGACATATCCAACGCTGTTTTTAAATATTATGCTTGTAATAAATGTGTAAGGTCGTAATATCTATGTTTAAAAGGCCTTACTTTATTGTATGCTTGTGTACTATGGACTGTCTGTACTAAAAGTCCTAAAATAAATAAAATAATATTAATATTTTCTAGCTATCCTACAACAAAAATGATTAGTAGTAATCCCCACTTTTAACAACAAGAATAATTCCATTACTGTAGGTATATATACACAAATAGTTTGTATTAGTATAGATTATTACTCTAATTGCTACAAACCATTTTCACTGATGAGTTGTTTTATTGGTAAAATTGCTCCTATTGAAATGAAAACTATTTAGATGAGAGAATTTTTCTAAAAAAAATTCCTTTTTGTATGTGATATTTCCGTAATTAATAAGTAAACAACTTTTAATATTTTTAGTTAATTAAAGTTAAATATCTAAGTCAATTATTTTAAATTACGGACTTTTAACTTTCGATACTTGATGAGGTTATAATGTTAAGGTTAAAAATTTTCATTGAAAGGTCTTCCTAGGAAGAAATGCTTGTCCTTAAGCCATGAAAAGACATTATTCTTAACTGACATAAAATCTAAAACGGAGTGAAATTATATCTTAACTATTAATAGCTAAAAATTTATTAAGTCTTTAAAAAATAAAG